GCGGGCGGGTGAGTGAGTGAGTGAGTGACTGAGTGAGTGAAAAGGGCAAACCATGTGGCTGACAATGCTTTGTCTTCCAAAAAAGCACAGCTCCTAGAGACTTAAGAAGGAACAGCCCAGGTACTGCCGCAGTTGAATTCCCAGCATCAGCCATTTAAGGCAATTGCCTCATTCTACCCCATGGTAGAGCCGGCCCTATTCATATATAATGGCCAAGAAAATCACACAGAATCATGACATACAGAACCGGAAAAAAGGAGACTCCAGATGCCATGCTGACATACAGAGAAACACACGCGTACACGAACACACACACACAGAGACACACACCCTGTTCCCGACACAATATTTCATTAACACCAAACTTCCATAACACAGGAGTAAAGCCTGAGCAACAGGGTGCGGACTCACTTCTTGAAGTAGACGTTTTCTTCTTCCCAGTACCACGTGTAGGTCAGGTTGCCTGGATATGCCTCAGCCTGGCAGGTGAACATGGCATCCTGGGAGATGTTAACGGTGATGTTCTCTGGAGGGGAAACAATGAAAGGGGGTCCTGGGGGAGAACAGGAGATAAACAGTTTACCTCAGCAAGCGAAACAAGGAAGGTGAGCTCATCGGTAAAAGTGCAGGGTGGCCAACTGCGTCGGGAACAGATATGAGATAAGCATCCGTACTGTGGAACAAAGAGGCACCTGCGCCACCTGTTCAAATCCAGTCAGGCATTTTGGTCCGGGCGATACGACCTGGCGCAACCATTTCCCTACTGTCTGTAAACAAGGCCCAAACCCTGCGTTTAGAAGATGAGGTCTGAAAGTCGACTCGTACAAAATAGGGAACATTGGCTAGGGTGTGCAGAAGATGCACTTTGTGCAGAGACGTCCCACGTTGAGGTCCGAACCACTCAGACTTACGCAGCTCAAGACATTCTGCCATCTGAGGCAACAAACAAGATGGCGCCCGTTCCCTTTCCAGGCTCAACAGGCAAATGGACTGGAAATTAAACCTTCCTCAACATGGGCAACAAGGGTTTGAAACGTCACTGAGACAGACTCTCGCACCACACGTTTCTCAGCTAGTATGGTGACTGGTCATTTCGGCTGCAGGATTCTGGTGTAGCAGCTGTTCCAATCTCATAGGGTTGCCATAAGTCAGAAGCAACTTGAGGGCACATTAAAAACAACAATAAATATCACATATCAATAAGGACAGCATATTCAGTGACAGGAGGAGAGGAATTCTAAGGCGAAATCTGAGTCCCCACTAAAGCAGACTAACAGAAAAGAACTGGGGTTGTTAATCAACACAAACATAAGTTCTAATTAACATTTCAGTGGGTTTAACTCTAATGAGTATTCCACATTTTGTTTAGATCCCTCCAGACTTTTAGGTCAGTACAGCGTGAGGAGGACAGGGAGATGAATACAGCGAATGATACCTAGTCTGTAAATGGGGATGGTTGTTTAATCAATATGACAGGCCAACCCACAAGGGTGTGCCAATAAAATGAATTCCTCCATAATACTAATGGGATTCCGAGGGGTTCACTGCTGTCAGTATGATAGACGTCTATCACATATACCCATTCACGATGACTGAAAGGGCTGGGGAGTCTACTGGGAATTGCCAACGCTCCTTCCATATACATGGCCATCTGTTCTGTTCTTCAAAGGATACTCCTCTGTTTGAAAGATGAATCTGATTTAAAGGTTTAAAAAAGGAAGAGGATGAAGATCAGGGATTTTGAATAGCAGGGACCCTGAGACTCTCTCTCTCTCTCATAGAAAGAGAAAAGTTCACAACCATCCATCACAGCCTCCATTTCTGGTCAAAACACTAGTTTTCTGGAGCAAGGGTAACGCTCCCACCCAGGCACCTAACATACTTTCATACGCAAGGGCCAACAACAGGCTGAATTCTAACAGCTTGAGGCTGAACAGGCTCAAAAATGCTGTCACGGCCAGAGGATGCAAGAGCATGCTGGAAGGAGGTCCTTGATGTCTCCAGGGCATAACACACGCAAGCCACATATTACATTTTTTCCACGCTGCATGACAGACACACAGAAACATTATGACTGTGCCTGATGCAAACAAGGGGCAAGACTATGGTGGCAGCAGACGGTGCCGTCCCTGCAAGGGGTTAAAGTGTCTTGGGCTGGGGATGACCTCGGTAAGGACCGCTGCCAATCACAGCAGAGGGTGGAAGACACAGGAAAAGTCTAGCCTCATTTGCTGGGGAAAAAAATATATATCGAGGGCAGCCCGAGGCACCTTTCCAGCACAAACTCCATCATCAAGGGCAGGATGAAAGGCTGTGTGTGGGCCCAGAGGACTGACAGCTGCTAGGAGCTTCTGTCGCCTCTCTGCCACCGCTCAGAAACATTCTCTTAAAAACTGGGGGGTTCTGGGGGTTGCAGTCCAAAGGATCTTTGCCAAGATCCGTTCCATTCCTAACCAGTTTCACTGGAATTGCCAAACCCCAGGCTGAAAACTGCTGGAAATCAAATCAACCTACCGCCCCCCCCTCAAATCCAAGAGCCCCTGTTAATCTGGCTCACTTTGCAGAATTAATACTAATTAACAGACTTAGGAATTTCCTTTTCAATTGTTCTTAGTTGGAGCAGATCCTGATTTGTATACAGTTTGTTTTTACTGGGACTTAATCCTGTCTTGGTTCCTTTTGTTCTCTGTCTCTTTCCGGCTTGCAGAATTGTTCCTGCCTTCCACTCCTCCTTCCTTCCTCGACCCTCCGCCCATCCTTTCGGATTTAAAAATCCAGCAAACTCAAGTCTAAACCCCCTTGTCCCGCCCCACGCCCAATTTTAAGGATCTCGGGTGGGCCAGAACGATCCAGTCAATAGATAAGGCCAATCAACACTGCTCCCAAATCACCTACTAAGCAGGCAGAATGGAGGGAAGAGAGTCCTCTATTATTGATGCAGACATGGCTAATCAATACGGCATGTCTCTCTCCTACAAGGCCAGGCTGTCCTGTCCCACTTTTCGGCTTGAGAACGTCCCTCCCAGAAAACCTTGTGTTTCTAGGTTGGGACAGAGGGCCACATATCACCAGGGCCAAAAAACCCCCATCCTTTGCATTCCCCAGATGGTTCAGCAGAGCTGGCAACTGTCATCATTGTTATTTAACTGTCTGGGGTTTTGTTTATTTATTGATGGCACTTTGGATAGTTTTTTTTAATTGGAAGATTGGAAAGAGTCCCAGCTTACTTGCTGGAGGTTATATAGTCTCTTAGCCAAGAGTCACCTTCGGAAGATTCATGCTGCTAAGTACCTTTCTACGGGATACAGGAAGCTCGAAGTAAGCGCCCTAGAGAGCTGGGTGGGAGGTGGTTGGTAAATGGTATCTCTCCATAAAAAGAGCCTTTGTTATAAATCAGCAGACTTTATTGCAATGACCCTTGAGGGTAGAAGTTGACTCCCACTCTCTTTAATGCCAAAAATACACATTGCATATAGGTACACTCATAATTAAACTCCAAAACGTGGGCTCACGGGATATGGTGGTGATGGCTATCTTCAATTGCAACACTGTCCCCCCATCTAGTCCCTTAATAATAATAACTGTGTTACTGTCAAGTCAATTCCGACTTATGGTGACTTTTTTCAAGGTTGCCCAGTAGAGAGTACTTAAAAGTGGTTTTCCCATTCCCTTCTTCTGTTGGCACTCGGGGACTGCGCAGCTGGCCCAAGACCACACAGGCTGGCTCTTCTCCTAGGAAGCACAGTAGGGAATTGAACTCTCAACTTCTAGCTTTGCGGCCAGATACCTAAACCACAGATCGAGTACTTTACATTTGATGATGATCTAGTTCTTTCCATATGATTAAATGGCCAACTTTCACTGACGTATGAAAACGTTAAATGCATGGAAACTGGAATGGGGGGCAGGAATTCATAAGGTCTTCATTAGTTGCAACTTGATAACACAACAACAAGTAGACACAGTCTGCAAGGAAACCGCAAAGATGGTCCAGATCTAGGAAATACCTTGGACAAGCAAACGGGTGGTGTGCATGGCCTCTCCTTGGATGCTGTACGCTCTGCAGGTGTAAGCACCTCTGTCATTCCGACTGATGGACAGAACAGTCAGGCTGCCATCTGTAACCTAGCAGGGTGGGGGGAGTATGAGTGTCAACACACAAAATCACGGCAATCACAAATGCCCATGAGCTCACAAACACGGTCATGTAAACAGAAGGCCGAGATTAAGCAGGAGGGGGGGGGGAGTATGAGTGTCAACACACAAATCACAAATGCCCATGAACTCACAAACACTGTCATGTAAACAGAAGGCCGAGATTAAGCATAGCATTAACTGTGATTTTGCATTTTCCCTTCTTATGCAAACAGCAGCTTCAGATAAGCTAGTTTTCTCATGACCACGAATGATGATTCATCTCATTTTCAGCAACTATAGAGTTAGGTGTGGGGTTTTTTGGGTGGGTGGGTTTGTATTTAAATAGTTGTACCTGCTAAATGCAAAGGCATCTTTAAACATCTCATTTAGTTTGACCTCTGCACAAACAGAAGCACCATTGTGGTACTTAAAGCATATCCCAACATGAAGGCAGAGATCAGACCACCCCTGTATTGTAAGAAATATGGAATCGAGGACGAAAAATGAAGGAATTCGGGAAGAAATCGTCCTCCCCAAGGTACCACATAGGCCTGTTTAGACAATCAAGCTCATGATCCATCTGGCATCAGCAGTGATGATGATGATGACTTCAAAAATCTCCATGCCGATTTTTATGGATATCATAGGGGTTCTCATCCCCGAAAAAGGGAGTTTTTCCCAGCTCTGTTGCAGGGTGGTTTGCCATGTAGCATGCTGACTTCAGCAGTTTTTATCTGATCCTCTTCTGTTTTGCAGGTATCAAAACCAGGGCTACAGACTGAGAGGGAGCGATGGAGCAGGGAGTAGCTTAGGAGGCCGTTACCATAGAGACAAGAGATGCAGTCCCTTTGAACCATCTTCATTTCTCCCTGCCAGGTCCGGCCACCCAACCCCGCTGCCAGTGAGGAAACTCATTTTGCTACATCCTTCCATTTCTGTTTCTAACAAATGACCCCCCGCCCCCATTATTCCCATCGGTGGCAGGAACTATAATTCAGAAGTGATGCCAGGAACCAAGTGAACTGCTTTGTTTGTGGCTACCCTTAAATGGAATGAAAAATGTTGTTGTTGTTGTTTAGTTGTTAAGTCGTGTCTGACTCTTTGTGACCCCATGGACCAGAGCACGCCAGGCCCTCCTGTCTTCCACTGCCTCCCAGAGTTGGGTCAAATTCATGTTGGTCACTTCGATAACACTGTCCAACCATCTCATCCTCTATCGTCCCCTTCTCCTCTTGCCTTCACACTTTCCCAACATCAGGGTCTTTTCCAGGGAGTCTTCTCTTCTCATGAGATGGCCAAAGTATTGGAGCCTCAGCTTCAGGATCTGTCCTTCCAGTGAGCACTCAGGGTTGATTTCCTTCAAAATGGATAGATGTCTTCTCTTTGCAGTCCAGGGGACTCTCAAGAGTCTCCTGCAGCACCAGTATGAAAATACTACCAGTCAATTTGTCCACACAACCCACTGCTTTGTACTGTGACCGGCAAGAACTCTCCAAGGTCATCAGCAGTGGTGTAGCGAACCAGGCGTGCAGGATCAACGTCCCAGGATTTCCTAGGTACCAAAGACTACAGCATCACCCATCCACTCTCTTAAGTTTTCCCTGCTCCCTCTGAGCATAACTACCATTCCCAGGAGAAGTATATTCCTGCAAGCGATCCCTGTTGCATTGCACAATATTTGAGGGTGATTTTGTCTTTAAAGGGCCATTAAGAGCCATTCACTTGACAAAATATTGGCTCCTCGTTGGTTTCTAGAGACCAATCCAGCAGCCTGCTGATGGGAAAAGAGCACCAGGCTACGGAAACTGGCCTGATAAGCATCCGAAATTTTAAATTTACGCTACTAGAGTTCAGGTCCCTTGCAGCTGTTCTGTTTATGATCTGTGAATCACAGGGGGTGGTACATTATGTATGCAATCATGCGCCCCCCCTTCCCACATAGAGCGATGGTTTTTCCTGAACACGGTCTCCTTACCTGGTATTTTTTCTTGTCACCCAAGAGTTCCCCTTCCTTTAGCCAGGTGACGGTGGGCTTAGGGTTCCCAAAAGCCATGCACGTCAGAGTGATGCTGCTGCCTTCTTTCGCCTCTACGTATTGGGGGGGAGTTTCTGTGAAGGTGGGGGGAGCTGCGAAGAAGAGGGACAGAGAGATGAGAGGGAGGATGGATTACGATGCCATGCAAAACGGCAAGAATAGGCAATGTGTGGTTCACCCAGCATTGCTGGACAGTGACTCTTGACCATTGGCTACAGAGGTCACAATTTATAGGAAGTTGCTCGATACAATTTATAGGGCGCTGCATGATAGCTCAGTAACTTAGGCATCTTAGTGACTAGGGAGCCAGAGGCTGGGAGTTCAATTCCCCATTGTGCCTCTTTGACAGGGGCTGGTCTCGTTGATCCATAGGGTCCCTTCCAGTTTAGAATTTCTAAGATTATTATTATGAGGACCAACAATATACAGTGATGTCTCGCAAGATGAATGCCTCGTGCAATGAAGAATTTCTAAGATTATTATTATGACGACCAACAATATACAGTGATATCTCGCAAGATGAATGCCTCGTGCAATGAAAAACCCACAAGACGAAAGCGTTTTGCGATTTATTTATTTATTTATTGGGGGTGACTCGCAAGATGAATTTTTCTATTTATTTATTTATTTTTTTGGGGGGTGACTTGCAAGATGAATTTTTCTATGGCCATACTTCACAAGATGAATTTTTTTTCAATGCATTCCTATGAGAAATGCATTGAAATGCATTCCTATGGGAAAATTCGCAAGATGAAACTTTCGCACTACGAAATGAACTCGTGGAACGAATTATTTTCATCTTGCCTACGAAATGAAACTCGTGGAGTGAATTATTTTCACCTTGCGAGGCATCACTGTATAAAGAGACACACACCCCATTGTATGGTCAAAGGCCAGATGGACTGCATGGACAACAGACACAAAAAGTACAACCTGTGACATCTCTCGGTGAAGATCAAACATATAAGAGCCTGTGCCCTTTTTATAGAGCACCATCATCTTACCTGTGTTGGGCTGTTTCAAACAACTGAGCAGGAGACAATGCCTTGGTCGTGATTTAGTCCTACACATATAGAATCAAATGTAAAAGCCGGTGGGTGTGTGGGCTGGAACTCCCAGAATTCTGTGCAAAGAATTCATGGGAAAATTCTGAGTTTGGGAGTAAAAATAAATAAATAAATGAACCCCACGCAAATGATCAACCCCTGCAGGCTAATGGTATCTGGAGAGCACCACTTGCATGCCCTTGATTTTTGCCTTGAATGATATTCTGATGATGTTTGTTTTGATCAATGCAGCGACTCCTGCTGGAGAAGAGAAAGGTAGGAAGACTTTTGTAATGCCAACGAGCACTCTGGAAGAAGGGAAGGCCCTTTGTAATGCCAATTAGCATTCCGGCATTTAAAAATTGTAGATTTTTTTAATTACAGAGCTTGATGAACAGGAACACCCTGACATGTTATTCCATTTTTTTAAAAAAAAATCTGCAAGGGGTGGGGAGAAAATTGGGGGAATGGCCTTTCATTTGGGCTGCAGGAAGCTGTTAGAAACCTCATTAGTCCTCTGATAGAAGGCTGCAGAATTCCATCCTTCCCATCCTCTACCCTGGGGCAAGTGAACCAGACACGTTTGTTTATTTCTCACTACTCATTAAGCTTCCACAATGAAGCGAGACTGATGGGTTTCACTTTCTCCAGAACACAATGCCTCAGTGTCTGAGTCGCCAGCTAGGGGGGCTGGAGATGCGTTACACAAAACCGAATTCCAGATTGCAGTCACAGCGAAGTTGCTTTAGGGTGGGGGGGGCATACCAATCTGCACAGCGCACAGCCTGCACACAAGCGCACAAAGAGACAGAGGCAGGAAACTTCAAGGTCACAGGCCAGACTCGGAAAGAATGGCTCTCTCTTCCACTCCGCACGCTACCCGAACTCGAGCTTTCTAAGGATCCTAATCTTATTAGGGTGTACGTGGATGGTCACTTTGGCTCAAGCAAGTGTGCGGCTCTCTTCTCTGCTATACTCACCACAACCCTGTGGAAAAGGTCAGGCGGGGGGGAGAGACCAAACCAAGGTCACCCGCTGTCTAGAATCCAGTCATAAATTGCAACTAGAGTAGGCCCACCACATCAACAGAACTCACTACATCCCAACTAATTCCATGGATCAACTCTAGTTGTGACCTCCTACAGGATTTCGGCCAATGAGTTTACCAGTCAAGTGTGGAATTTGAATCCAGGTCTCCATAGTCCTGGCCTAATACTCAGTAGTACAACCCCATGATGACTTACCACCACCACAACCCCAAGTGAAGATTTCAAAGTCCTGAATTTCTGAAGGGTGGAGATAAGAATCATACCACCATCGCTCCATGTTTTGCACCCATTCATAGCCTCCTGATCTGTAGCCCTCTATCACACAAAACAGCCACCCCTTTTACGATACATCAACAGTGTGCTGAATGGGGCTGGGATGGTATTTTTGTCTCAGTCCTAATTCCCATAAGCTGGTTTCATACTATGCTTCTAGTCTTCTCAGGTCAGATTTATAATGAGTCGGACCAATGATTCATCTACCCAGAATATGATTTTTTTATTATAGTTCCAGAATTCCACAGAATGAAAGGTGGGTGTGGTGAATTCAAAACCACTGGTGGCCAGCAACTCCAATTTCAGAGGGGCTGTGAATCCGCTCCTGGTTTTAGTCTGCCCCTTACTTCAAACCTATAGGTTCAGAACCTTATACAACTTTTGTAAACTTAAAACTAAGGCCCGACATGGATTCACAGCATCATTGAAACCAGAGTCACCAGCCTCGTGGCGCAGTGGTTAAAATCTCCTGGTTTTAGTCTGCCCTTTACTTCAAATCTATAGGTTCAGAACCTTAGACAACTTTTTTAAACTTAAAACTAAGGCCCGACATGTATTCACAGCATCATTGAAACTAGAGTCACCAGTAACTAAAAATACAGTTACCGTTGTGACACAAAAGGGCAAAATTTTCCTTCACTGAGTTCCAATCATAATGTAACTTAGTTATAACTTAGTAACTACAAAGAATTCAGCTTGTGGTGGGCAGTAATGAAACTGTTCCTGAAGCATCTCCCACACCTGGCAAATCCAGGCTTCCTATAGGTCAGATACAACTTGACAGGAATGGAATATTTTTTCTTTCCTCATAAGTAGTTACATCCAAGTTCTGCAGTTAAGTAAAGACAAAGATCTCATCCTACTTGTGGCACAGAGGTTAAATTGCAGTACTGCAACCCAAACTCTGCTCACAACTCGGGTTCAATCCCAGATATTTATCTCAAGGTTCACTCAGCCTTCCATCCCTCCAAGGTTAGTAAATTTGCTGGGGAGGGAGATAAAGTGCACCCTGCATAATTACTGTAATCTGCCCAGACATTGCTTTAAGTGCTATGGGGTGGCATATAAGCAGCATACTTTGCTTTAACCTTTCTACAGGGGAAAGGAACCAGATTATGGCACCATGGACAGACTTCACAGGAAGCGGCCAATCAAAGCAGGAGAAGTAGTTAACTAAGAAGGGAAATGCACTTGTATGCAAATACACATGCTCATTTTAAGTACTGATGGAGAAATTGATCCACAGGTAGCCCTCCTTTCAAAGAGCTGCAGGACTTTGAAGCCAAGGTCATTGATTCACAAGGTCTCTTTGGTCAGCCAAGGCACTAGTCCTACGTTTTCCCCACTGTTTCTTTCAAGACATATAAAAGTACTGTTTGTGAACAGTGACAATGATATGGGGGAAAGAGACCTTCAGAAAACAGGCCTGACTGAACTGCAGTGAACTGGCAAAAAAATGCCAAAAACTGTACCTTCTGAACAGCAGCAATGACCTACTTAGGGTGGAAATAGAGTCACATTAAAACTGAAATGTACAGCAGATAGAAAATGATTTGAGTTGCAACCCTGTCTGTAATGTACTGTACAAACGTCCTATGGAATTCAGGCGACTTACTTTTGAATAGGCATGGAAAGAACTGCATTTCAAATCATTGCAATGGACAAATAAGTTTTTTTTAAAAAAAAAAATCCTAGTAGCAGTTCATCAAGAGATTCTAGATGTAACTCTAATATTCTGGACACCAGGATGTGGGGGGCTTTGAAAAACTTACTTATTTTGAGGGGAATGCATAGAGTTTTACCCAATTAGCAGGTATTCATACATCTAAATATTCCCCCCTCTATCTTGTCCTTTCATCATCAGGCAAAGCCTTCTCTTTCACATAGGCTTTTAAGCAATGGATGCGGATCTCAAAAATGCTCTATCTATTGGATTCAGATGTCACTGAAAATGTTTTAAAAATATTTTAAATGTCTGGTTTTAATCGTGAAAGATGCTTAATTGCTTCTTGGTTTAATTTTTAATGGCTCTTTTTAAAAATTGTGATTATGGTAAAGTTGTAAGCTTTGTGAACCACCTTGGGTCCCATATGGAGAGAAAATAATATAATGATTGCATGCTGTCAAGCCACTTCTGACTTATGCCAACTCCTTTGGAGGGGGAAGTGTCTAGCAAGAGAATATTCAGAGGTGGTTTACCCTTCCCTTCCTCTAGGGGGTGCCCTGGGGCTCTGAAGCTTGCCCAAGGCCACCCAGGCTAGCTCTCCTTCGGAGTTGCATTTTAAAGTGAAACCTGGCCCTCTGCTTCACCCAGGCGGAACTCCTAGGCTTTGCTAAGGCGTAAGAATTGCATCGCTCAGTGAAGAGCTGAGCATGCTTCAGTGAGCGTGCCTCGTGCTTCGAGAAAATGCACATTAAAGGAAGCTCAGCCGAGTGCAAGGTGCTTGTTAAAAGTTAACGAGGCCAAGTTGCTCCTTCTCCAGAAGGTCTGTTCCTCCCATCTCCCAGGCAGCAGCATCTTGTTAGATAAGGCAGGAGCCATTTAACCATTTTCCCCTCTCTGACTCACTATCACACTCTGCACCCCTCCCTTTGAGCATCACTCTGCCCTAAAACATCCGGAGCCCTTGTTAAGGAGCGGTGCCTGACAGAACCATGAGCGTGGAGGGAGCTGGCTCAGAAGATGTTGAAAAAGGAGTCACCACTGAATTTGACAGGGAGATGCCAGTAGGTAACACACCTGTGTGTTGGCAGAAAGCTACATTCTGCCAAGAGACAGGTCGCATCCAGATGCAGGGACAAATTTTTTGGAGTTTCTGGACTACAATCCCATAATTCTCCCTTCTGAGAATTTGATCTGACTACCAGACACCTTACGGACCCCTGAACATGGCCTCACCTAGGAGCAAAGGCCTAAACTGGGAGGCTTTGAGATTTAGCTAAGCCTAACCCTGTCTAGCTTCTTGTTCAGAAAGAAAGCTCCCAGCTGGCACCAGGGCAGGAACAGGAAGTTGGGGCAGACCAAGGCCTAGCTAGACTTCTAAGCCTTCTGCCAGGTGAGCCAAATTTAGGTGCCTGTAAGGCATCTGTCTCTCTCTGTCAGGTAGAACTCCCAGAATTATGGGATTTCTAGTCCAAAAAAATCAAAATATCCTCTCCCTACCCAGAAGTTGTAGCCTGCTCATCTTTGTGGTATGTGTGAACCAGAGCTTCAACTAGTTGCTTTCTGAACCAGAATTATATAGGAAATATAATTCGGAAACTTAACTTTTCTAAGATCTGATGTTAATCCTCTCCATCTTCATCTTTCTACAACCATGTCATGGATTCTTTGCCTTCCCAACCGCTGTGCCTTCCAGACACTGTTACTTTTATGTCAGCACCAAATCACGTTACAAAATCATGTCTGTCCACATGGTAACGACATCAGGAAAACAATACTCGCATATCTGTGTTTCCTTTGCTTCACAGGATCTTCAGGAAGAGTTAATTATCCTCCATTTAAATTCTCCCCTAGGGCACTGGCCTCCTTCTCATTCTGCCACTGTTCTGTCTTGGCAGCATTTGGAGTTTCCTATCTCTGATCCCGTCTCATTAAAACATGTCCCGCTTTGGGTGTACATAGCTGATTTGTGCTTTGAACGTACCCATTGTGTGACCTCAAGCAGCAAACTATCTTGGGATGGCTCTGGATTGGTCAAGTGAAGATGCTCCATGGTTTTGTGAGGCTTAATATAATATTTAATTTGGTAATTTCATCTGTTTAGTGACATGTTAATATTTCATATATATTAATTGCAATGACTGGAGGCTAGTTAGGTACACATCTGTCTAGCTTCCACCTTTGCTTGAAGACTTTGACTGAAGTTATATATTCTAACCCAGGCCCCTCCAGCTGTGACCTTCAATCAAAATCATCCACCTTCAAGTAACACTGGCCTCTGAATCTGCTGTGCATACAGTAGAACACAAGAAGGAACACATTGGAGTTTGAGGAAGAGAATAATGGGGATACATAGATGTTGAATTCAAGAATGGCTTTCCTGTAGGAAGTCTGAAATCAACCTGCCATGTATCCAGGGGTGTCCTCAGTGAATGTTTTCACTCAACAGCAGCAAACACGTTCAAGCAACTTTCAATGCTCTGTCGCTAAGCTACAGCCCTTCCCCCCGCCATTCAATATTTGAAGAAATATGAATTTTGGAAAATTCTTAAAATATCCACCAGACACACATTTTCCCCATTTCTATAAGCAGGCCTTTGACTTTCATCAGAACAACCTGTTTGCAGCCCTGGAGCTATCCATGGTCCTGAAGATAAGAGCCTTCGGTCTTTACCCTTTCATCTTAAACTCTACTCGATCTGCTGTTGTATTCTCTGTCCTTTTGAGGGAGGCAGTTAAAGGCTCAGAATCATACCAAGGTTCTTCTCAAAAGAGAGAAGCAACAACAACAAAATCAAGAAATTTCACACAGTTTTATAAGCAGTTGCAGATCTCAGAAATAACACTGTCAGAGCTACAAAAAAAAAACAGCAATATTATGAACAGCATAGATACTGTGCCAATATTTAACAGAGAGATTTTTGGTTAAAACTTGTATCTATTATATAATATTAGTCAATGTTTTTATAATTGTGATTGACTGTGCCTGGTATTTTTGAATAATAATGATGATGATGATGATGCAAACAGAAGTCAAGGGGGCGTAAGGTACTGTAGATACAAAAATTCATACACCAAAGACATGTTGTCACACAGGAAGAATATATCTGTGGTCATTTGAGCAGCAGAGAAAGGATTTAGTAGCAGGGTTAGAGGAAAAATTACAGCCTCCCATGATTTACTCTATAAATGTCAATTTGATTCAGTGTTTAGGTAGCCATGCAGCATTACTGAACAGACAGTTCAGTGGGAGGGAGTGCTCTTCAACACCAATCACTGAAATTCAAACCATGTATGTGACTCATTTTTGCTGCTTCTTCCTTTTGTTGTGATCTCAAGAAAAGAGAGAGGAACCTTTATAGTTACCTCTGCTGCCAACCTATACATCATTCAACCATTCTTCAGTCACCTCAAAAAGACTATAATTTTGAATACTCTTGCACCTTGAGAGTTTTGGTCATTGTAAGTACTGTTGAGGAAGAGAGAACAGATGGAGCCTTTGGCAACGTTGACAACAGATGGTTACTGGACATGTTACCAGTAACCGGAGGATTGGGGGAGGAGAGATCACAAAAGACCCTAGGATCTAAGTGCAGTGCAGCAATTGGGCATGTGAAATATTTATCCCATATTGATGTTGCTCCTTTATACAAGCACATCCTTAAAATGCAGGACGAGGCCAAGAAGAGACAGAGACATTGATCTAAACTGGCTGCACAGTTGGATCTATTTCAGGAAACGTATGATATCAGTTGACTTGTACATAAAGAAAGAACCCTACAATGCTCCAACGGAAACTCCAGAGCAGTTGGTGAGGCAAAGACTATCGGAGAGTTTGGAGAGAGAGAGAGCTCCTCAGTGAGGTGATGATGCCACCTACCATTAACTGTGAGATGCACCCAGCTGCCGTTGTGGAAAGTGTCATACTGCTGATCCAGCATGAGCACTTTGCACTCGTACCAGCCCTGGTCCTCCGAGCGAACCTGCTCGATGCGCAGAGATGCCTTGTCATGAAGGCTGGCACGGCCTGGAAGAGAGCAGGAAGAAGGGGGGGTGAGGAGCGATTCAACGGAGCAGACCTCTTTGCAACAGAGCTTGCCAACTATACCCAAAACTATGGAAGCAGGTGCACAGGGCAGTCAGAGCGACTGTGTTCCCAGACTATGACAGCAGGTGAGGGATGAAACAGGAGAGGGAAAGTGTTTACGGATCAAGTGATCACAAGCGCTCGTGCATGAAAACTGTTACAGTAGATGAACTGTACAGCGGCATAGCTGCTAATCCCTTATGTTGTCCTCATCTATGGATTCATTTGCACAAGACATCCAAATAGGTCATTCAAACAAATCCCATATTCAGACATCCATTATGATTGTCTGGTTTCCAGGAACATCTCTCATGCTGCGGTCTCTTATACATCCTCGTTTTACCCTTGCTTTGTTAGTATGTGCTGCCAAATTGCTTTGAACTTATGGCGACCCTTTAGAACCATGTGTGATGCATTATCATTTGTCACTCCCCAGTCCAGTGAGTTTCCATTACCAAAGGTGGATTTGATCCCAGGTCTCCTGAGTCTTAGTCTGAAATACTATCCACTTACACCCACACCATCTCTCATTCTTGTGTGTCTTGTGTGTCTGTTCTGTGCCGACACCTTGGAATGAACCCTAATAGGTCTTTCAAGGTAAGCAAGGTATTTTCCCCCAGTGAATTTCCAAGGCTGAGCAGGGATTCAAACCTTGTTCTCTAGTCCATCACTCCATCCACTACACCACACCCAGAATCTCATTTTTACTCCACCTATTTGTAAAACTTTGCTAACATTTCTAACCGTGGTTTTGTAACATTTTGGACAGTGGTTGCCAATTTTTTTCTCTCTTATGTCCCAACCATCAGTTTGTCAAAGACTCTGGGTCCTATCACACAAGAAGCAAAAAGCCCACTTTTTTTTGAGAATAACATTTCTACCCTTACAGGCATTGAATGCTTATAGAAATGTTTTTCTAAAATTGGAGAGCACGAGAAATTATGGAGTCAGAAGAAACCAACAAGACTGTTGCTTGCCCAAAGTAGATAGATGCATAACCCAGGGCAGGCAAGGTCACTAGGTAATGGCATGTGACACTTGTAGAAGACCACAGGGATGGAGGAAGAGTCACATCCTAGTGATTGATACAAGTACCCTCATCCCACCTCAACCATCTCTATTGCACTGGTGGTTGAGGACCACTGATCTGGAACAATGAAGAGGAGAGAACACATTGTAATGGTAATATGCATCACAACCGAGGTACTTATCTTGTTGACGAAAGCTTGGAAATCTGCTTCCTTGAAAACTCTTAGTTAACAGAGAAGGACAATATGGAACACAACGATAAGGAAGAAAATTGGAGCAAATAAACTTCCATGGGAAAGAAGGGGGGGAAAAACCTTATTGAGGCATTCTACCATAATTAGATCTTATTTCTTCCATTTGTGAAGAAGTGTAGACCAACAGATCTCTGGATGGTGTAAACTTATAAATTAGAATACCAGGATAATTTAAAGTGGGTTTTCCCTCCTTTTTGACACTGTATGTCTCTAAAGAAATATTAAGGAGGGTTACATTTTTGCTAGGAGGCTTTATATGAAGGTGGAAGAAAAAGAGGAAGAATTGGAAGTATAGGTTGCTAAAGGTGTCATTCTGCTCTACAGCAAGTGAGATAGTCTGTAGATACTATTAGACTGTAACTAACATCAGCCCTAACAACATGGTTGAAGGATAGCAAGTGTAATCCAGTAACATTGGGAGGCCTGCGCTCAGCTCAGCCTTGTTTCAGAGGATGCTGGACACACCTGTGAACCTCCAGATGCTGCTGGACTCCAACTCCCTCCCACCCAAGATGGCATGGCCAGTGATTAAGGATGATGGGATCTGCAATTCAACACCCTGTGGGGGGCATCAAGGTCTCCATGTTAGAAGTTAACTGTTCAAGCAGGCTGAGGAAGCATCTTGCCTCTTATGGTTGTGGAAATATGCCTTTTACCAAGCCAAATCACTGGTCTGTCTAGATGTGTCTTCCTAAACTCAACACCCTTGAGTTTGTTGGGCTACCATTCTGATCATCTCCAGCTGTTGTGGGCTAATCAGTAAGATGATGACAGATTTAGTCCAAAATACAGGAAGGGTGTCAGGTTAGAAAAATCTCAGCACTCATTTACTACAGAGGCCGTTGGATGGCACCCCCACCTATTCCCGCCATCCCTTGCTCTATAAGTTAGGGATGATGGACACTGTAGTCAAACAACATGTGGAGGACCACACATTCCTCATCCTTGTCTTGGTCAAATTATCCCCATCCATTCTCCTTATAGTCCATCAGAAGCCTGGCACAAAGGGGTTCAGGACTTACCTTCTCCCTTTGCAATCTAAGCACTGTGCTATATGGAACCTACAAATTACACATAGCCCCTTGTTGTAAGAGAAAATTTCTTATAGTCTGAAAACATCTGATTACCCCAGCAGCAGATCTGCATATGTGCTGCAAAGCTCACTCTGTTTCATGGTTTGTCATTCAGGAGATAAGCATAGACTTCATTTGCGAGTCTGATTGCTCCTAGTTTGGCCCCTACGAGGGAGCAGAAGAGCTTCTGCCACCTCATGTGCCTGTGATGGGCTATGCCCTCAGAGGAACCGTGCCACTGAAGACGAGAGGTTGGGGCAGATCAACCAGTTGTATCAACTAACATCAGAGTTCTTCTTGTGGTCTGGGGTCAGCCAAAGAAAGAGAGCTCAACCGGCAGAAAATCTCAGCTTCTGCTAGAGGAGAGAAGACAGGAAGAGGCAGAACGAGCAATGCCCAGTGCTCAGCTGCATCCTCTCTCTCCAAACTTGCCATTCAAGCACAGGGGAAATCTGCAGTGCTTCATGCGCACTGACCTAACAGGCTAATTAGCATTCCTGGTTGGGAGTCAAGGATGCTTCTGACAGCTTGTGGCTGCAGCAAGCCCGCAGCCGGAGCACATGGAAAAGGACAAAAGCCCACAGCAAAGCCAGGGGGTGGCTGGTGAGTGGCCCTCCCCTCAGTGAGGGCCACTGGTTCGCAAACGCTTGTGTTTCTGAACCTCTGCCTGCCCATTCTCCTTCGCTGTCAGGACCACGGCATGGGGAAGTTCTGTTTTAGAGCTACAAATACCAGAATCCACAGCCTTCCTGGACAACAAGGCCACTGGGAGTGGAGGAAAGGCACTCAAGCCCAAAAATGTGACTAGAAGCCTATTTTAAGGCGGGAGCACGTGCAATTATACTCCATCCCAGGATGGGCAGTATGGTTCATTCAGAGGATTATGTATGACGGAGGTCTATGTGACTTCTAGGAAACCTCACTGGGAAGAAGCATTAAGCAGTTTCACAAAATCAGGAAGCAAAGATACAACAGCTACTCGTGCATCCCAGTCTAACCAGAATCAAAAGACATATAGGTTTCTTTGGCAGCATTGGCAGAAATGTAAAGAAGTCAGATTCCATCTGTAACAATGTTGCAGACGGGCCAAAATCTTGTTGTTCAGCCATACCAATGGAAGCGAAACAATGTAACCCACAGTGGCAAATTGCAGCTAATTATTGAATCCTTGCTTGAATTCCTGGCAGCGTGGCAAGTCACCCGGCTGATGTGCAGCGAGGAATGTAAGCAGGGACTCATTAATGGGTGGCAATTTGCAGTGGCGAGTCACATCACCTCCCTTCCGTTGGTGTAATTACACAACAGGATTACAGCCTGTTTAGTTGTAAAGCTAGGCAAACCACCTCAAGAAATCTTTTCACGAGACTGCAGTTCCTCTATCTGATTCCTCTCAAACAAGCCAAAATCTGCTTGCTTAGCCCACTAAGTCGCAACTACAGTCGACCCATTGAATCAATAGAACTCTCAAAGGAATCGACTCATCAAATCCTCATTGATTCAATGGGCCTACTCCAGTTGCAAGTTAATACACTAAGCCACAAGATTTCAGCCAACACTTTCCTTACATTTTCACACCTTATACAAACTTTCAGAAAATCAAAAGACACAAGAAGGTCCCAGTGTCTTCCAGTTGAGTCCAGATTCTGTGACATCCCCAGATACCAGAAATCCAGGCCACATGAGATTTTGGAAAAAGAACGTGATGTGATGGTCCCATTTTCCCTTGCCATGTCAGCTCTAATTCCCTTCTCTCTTGCTGTCCCTGAATGCATCATCCAGAGATTTCTGCGCTCAGGAGAGAGGGCATGGCAGCAGCCTGCCTTTCCGAGGATGTCACATTGAGATTTGTGTGTGCAGTCCCCTAAAGCGTCCCTGGAAGTCTTCCGTTGCTTATAGGGCAGTCATGGCAATAGGGCCTGGCAGTGGCCTTCCTTTTCATTGCCTCGGCTTCTCTTGGCCCAAACACCCCAGCTGGCTTCTCTCCACCACAGCTTAATTAAAACCAACCAGGCAGAAAGGAAGGATTTTTTTTTAAAAAAAAAAGGAGGTGGGGAGAGGGAACCGGCAATCTAAAAGGAAATTGGACAGGAGTAGGAGGAGAAGAAGGGAACGGAAGGCAAACTTGGCCAATTCTGCTTATTAACCACCCAGTGCAAGTTGGACTTAAGCTAGACAGATGTACCATTTTAGTTGTGGGCAAAGGTCAGTTGAAAACATCTTGGCTTTCCAAGAAAACAAGACATGTCTTCTTCTCTGCTAGAGCATATTCTGGAAACAGGAGAGGAACGGGATCCAGAAAAGTGTTCCAAAGGTTTGGGATCCAGAGAGGAAAAGCCAATGCTGGCTACAAGCCATGACATTTTCTTCTCGTGTCACGTCTTCTTCTAAAGGTAGCCCTTGGCGCCTGAGATTCAGGCAGGGGGCTCCACTCCACACCCCCATCTTTTCTCCCAGGCAAGACCTCCAAAGAGAAGGAATAGAATTTGACCCATACATGCTCCAGTTAGATCTATCCCCATATGCGTACAATTATCATTTCACACCCAGGGCAATCCGTTTCCATATTTTTTCCACTGGCAAGTTTTTAAAATATATATGTATATGCTTTTTGCCAGGGGATGAAGTGAAGTTCTTGTTATTTATTTACTATCATTTTGTATCATCCACCAGTTAGCTGTTGTGGTTACAATCTGGAAATTTGAAAATGGATTTGTCTTGAATACTTGCACTGTCTTAAAAAATCTACACAGCTGGCCAGCAGAGTGTTGTGGTTAAACCACTGGCCTAGGGTCAGATCAAGTCCCGCAAAGCTCAATGGATGATCTTGATTCAGTCCTTCCCTTAGCCTAACCTAACTCACTGGATCGTTGGACGGAAAAATGGAGGACAGCATGCATGCTAAGAACTATACATAAATACAGTATATATTTCTGAAATGAACGTTTTAGAATTCAGTGGCACATTCACAGGTGAGTGAATGCAGAAGTGAGGTCACATGGCATCTCAAAACTCAGACCAGGTACGGTGTCCCAGGTTCTAAGGCAGAATATCCCAGAATCACAGTGAATAGGTCACTGTGAGAGCTGTCATTTTTAAAAGCAACTCCTCCCTTCTCTAAATGAAACAGAAACTAGACTTCCCACCAGTAGAGATGGGCATGAGCCAAGAAAAGGAACCACGAACTGGGTTGTTTTTTGATGGAGGGGGTTGTGATCGTTTGTGGTCCATGGGTAGCCATGAACCACAATTTTTTTCGGTTCCTGCCCGTCTCTACCCACCAGCTCAGCCTTCCCAAGGTGGAAAAAAATGCATGTTTTTCATGCAAGCGGGACGATCCTTCGGCAGTTTCAGCGAGCATCACTCACCAGCATATTCTGGATCCACATGGGGTGGGTAGAACCCAAATTTGATGAAGATGGGTATAGGCACTCCAAATTTGAACCACTCCACCACATAGGGAGGAGGCTGGCCCATCAGAGGATGGATGACGTCGCATCCCAGAATCACACTCTCCCCAGCACGAGCTGTCACAAACTCGGGTTCCTCTCTTAAGCCGTGGGCACCTGGGAAAGAGAAGATGGGAAGAATGGAAATCAATGGGTCTACTCTAGCTGGAAGTAGCTGCTGGATTCAAACCGAGGTCAGCAACTTTCGATTCAAGATCAGCACGATCCTCCCTTGCTCAGAGGATGGAGGGTCCAGTCTTTGGATTCTCCTGCTGCTGGTTTTGTTCCCCTGCCAGCCAAGTCAGCATTTTCTGGGGTGATCTCTTCCTCAGCAGAAACAGTACAAATGGTTTCATTGCAGTTCCCTCTTTATCATCATCCCCAACCACCACGCATTTCCCTGCGAGGACCAAAAGCAAAAGCCACCGGGGCATGATGAGAGCTCAGGGTAACCAGGGAATGACTCTGTCCAAGTTGTTTCCATTCATATATGGCTGAAAGAGGGGATCAAAGGGAAGCCCACAGGTCACCTTTTCCCCTGAGTCTCCAGTTCTGCATCCTGAGAAAACAAACCATCACCATCTTAGAACTTCAGAGCTGGAAGTAACCTGACGGATCATTGACTCCAGCCCCTGTCAAGGTGGAGAACTGAACTCTCAACCGCTGGCTCCATAACCAGATACCTAAACCATGGAGCTATCCTGCAAAAGTGGTTCCCATACAAAGAAAAAAAAAGGGAAGGGGCATTGCTTTTCCATTCCCAGAAGCCCTTAGAAACAGCTGTGCAAGGGGGGGGAGAGAGATTCCTCAGTGTTTTGGAGCCCCAAAATGACCAACTTTCAAATCCAAAACTACCTACCCAAGCTCTTCCAATTTTTATTTTTGTTTTCTATTTTTCTTTCTCCCTGTTTTCAGGGCTGCTGCAGCCTGTGATGGGAAATTATAATAATAATTGTGAACCGTGAAGATGGTTCTGACTTACAGTGAAGCCTTGCCAGGGGCTTCTGGATACAGAATACAGAATACTCAGAAGTGGTTTATTGTTCCCTTCTTCGGGGCAGGCTCTGGGGCTGTGCAGCTTTCCTAAGGCTACACAGGCTGGTTTTTCTCCCAAGAAGGGAAATGAGGGATCAGACTCCCAACCTCTGGTGACGCAGCCAGGTCTCCAACGAACTCACTGACCAATCCAGCCGCTCCTGAGCTAAGGGTTAAAATCCCTCTCTCTCTCCAATTATCCTTCCCAGTCTATGCCCTTTACCTGGATCGCAGCTTGGAGAGAGGAAGTAGTGAATGTGAGCAAAAGGAAGAAAAGACCTTTGACATAAGAAGCCAGATCTTGCAAGGTCAACATCAAAAAGACATTCATAACTGCAGAACGGAAAGGAACCTCAAGGATCATCTGGTCCAGCCGGAAGGCTCCATGTGCCCTTGGAAAAGCTCCTTTTCCGGGTTAACTCTCCCAGAACATGTGCTTCCCCTGTAGATGCCACCTGGGTGATCCTGAGAGTTTCATCCAAATACAGTAACTGTCTCAGCTCTGCATACCCTCAAGCGCTCTTCCCGCCAAGGACTACCCAGTGAACAAGGCCAGATTCCCCACGCACACACAAAAACATGGGCCGAGCAAGGAGTCTAGGGAGGAAACGTTTTGGAAAGAAAACAACAGAAACCTCCTTAAAACCTTCTGAGGGGAAGGTTACAGGAATGGCTGCAGGAGAGATAGAGAGAGGAAAGGAGGCAAAGACAGAATGGAGAAATACCTCCAGTATCCATTGACAGGAAAACGCAGGTGTTTGTGTGAGAGGCTAGAGTAGCAAGAGGAAGGGTTTTGTGCTCCTCCTGGCTCTCCCTTCAGGGCATCAGCTGCCCTGCCGAAAGTGGGATTTACACCTAGCATACAAAGGCAGCAGGACCCGCCAGTTGCAGAGTCAGCCTGTTAGCATCCCTCCAAGGTGACCTTCCCACAAGGGCTGCCCCCACCCCACAAGTCTCTCCGCCTTTCTCTTGCAGGAGAAGGGGAAAGAGGAGGAGGAGCCTCCCTACCCAGCAAGAACCCTATGGCTGAATTTTTCTTTCCCCCCTTTTGCTTTTTTTTAGCCTCTTCGCCTTGCCTAATCATACCTGCAGGGAAGGGCTCTCCTCCTCCCAGTAGCAGGAGAGGTTTCCATTCATAAACCAATTTGCCTTTCTATCCAATCATCAGCAAAATGTTTCCCAAAAAAAAACCTCTGGAACAGGCCCTTTGATGGGGAAACCGTTGGCGCAGCCGGGGCTGCAGTACCGGCAGTGACAGCTTTGTTAAAACAGCAACCGGATAATTACAATTGCAGCTATAGCCATGGAGAGAACCTGGTATTCATTACACACACACACACACACAGAGAGAGAGAGAGAGAGAGACAGACAGACAGACAGACCACAATCAGGTTGACACATCCACTGATACATTCAGGTTTATGTGCACATCCCTTGAAAAAGGTGGATGTTTTCAAGGTTTTATGAAGAGGATTTAAAATCTCTCTCTCTCTCTCTCTCTCTCTCTCTCTCTCTCTCTCTCACACACACACACACACACACACACACACACAAAATCTCTCTCCCCGACTCATTCTCATATGTGCATAGTATAATGGTAAAGTATAAATGCTCATTGGGAGAACTTGCCTAGCCGGATTACAAACCCGACTCATTCTCATTCTCTCATGTGCATAATATAATGGTAAAGTATAAATGCGCTTTGGGAGAACTTGCCTAGCCGGATTACAAAGAAGAGGAATCAATAAATTAAAAAAAAAAACATGATGGTGTGTACTCTTGATAGTTGTGTGTACCTGGATCACGTCTTCCATGAAAGTAATGGCTCTCGATGGCCTGCTCCTTCTGGCTGTTGTAAACAAGGAATGACCGGGCAGGGGGGAGTGGGGGGAGCAGGTGGCATCGTCCCCCCTGCTAACCAAGAAGTGGCATCTGTTGGACTTTGCAAGGTATGACTTCACCTCGTAAGTGCTCTTGGTTCAGGGTTCCAACCACCCACCAGCCTCATCCTTTCTGGGGCTCACACACAATTCGCCTTGGCTTATTCTGGGGTGTCGTTCGCAAACGGGTTTCCTTCAAGACTCCTGCTCCATCCCTCCCAGGTGGGACTCAGTTGGTACCACTTCTGGACCCAAACGAATACATGACTTGCAAGCAGTTTTATCCCCAGACTCTGTGTACCGTAACCATCCTCATACTTGATTACTAGACCTGCTGACTGTGGCTGATAGGATTTTTAATCTAGAACATTTGGAAGATGCCCTGGCTGGGACGACGGACAATATAAGACGTTTGTATTACAAATCTCCATTTGCTGAAGCAATTTCTTGCCCGCCCACTAATCCTTTGTTAATAAAAGCTGAACTTTTTTCAGCCTCGTACTCTCTCGGGGGGCATGAAAGCAAACTTGGGTTTATTTCTCAAATCACTACTTGGATTTAGAGTTTAAATTAAAATGTGGATTAAATTTTAAGTCACTAGAGTCATAGATATATCAATCGGAAAAGCAACCATACATAGTCTCCTTCATCTATTAGAAACAACTGACTGGTGTGACATAGATGGGCTGGCTAGTGGTTAGTGTCCAATTATAGGGTCCTGCTTGTAATCCCCACCAAGCCCTGAAATTTACTGAGTTATCTCTCTGTGCCTGTCCTACCTGAAAGGGGTATTCTGAATATGAAGGGGAAAGGAAGGGAGCCCCATATACTACCTGATAGCTCACTGGCTTAGGTCTCTGGCTGGGAAGACAGAAGTTGGGTGTTCGGTTCCCCACTGTGCCTCCTTAAGAGGGGCTGGATTTGAGGATCCATAGGGTCCCTTCCAGCTCTGCAGTTCAAAGGTTATTAGTATAATATTCACTTAGGGAAAGTTGGCTAGAGAAATGCGAACGCTAAAACATATAAATAAAGGAAAAGTTTTTGCAGAACTGCAGAACTTTGAAACCAAGAAAGGCCATTTTGTGAAACATTAAAGAAATCTCCGCATCTTTCGCCCATCCTTCTTCCTTGGCTATTTAAGAAGTTGAGACCGGAGATCCAGAAGGATTCAAACCCAGTCCTAGCTTCTTGTAGAGGAGAAGGCTTCTCCCAGGGAGCAGCCGGTGCTACCGGGTGATGTCACATCTCAGCCCAACTGCCCAATGAGGATTGACTGACGATCTGCAGAAAGGAGCAGGAGGGATGGGCTCCCAATCCAGAAATTATTCCCGACCGAGAAAGGTACCTGAGCATTACAGTAGCAAGCCAACTTTCTTAACCTGAAGGCCTCTTCGGCTGCCGACATCCCCTTGCAACCTCAGATTTATGGGGTGCCAGCTGGAACATTCCTGTGGGGTCGAGGGAATTGCATGCTGTAATTCCCTAGAGAGGCTGAGGAGGAGCTAAACAATTTCCCTTTCACGGGCTATGAAAAAAAGACCGGGGAGAGAAAAGCGAAATGATGCAGATGGCTCAAACATGGGTGCAGGGCAGGAAAAGGGTCCGTCTGCTTTTTTAAATCAAACTCTTCTCCTTCGATTCCAAAGTGAAAGGAGGACTGGATCAGAACCCTTCCCCGTGCCAAGAACGGTGTGTTTCTTTTCCGCTTTAACCCGGCTCGTTGTCTGGACTGGGAATGGGAGGGGTTGGGGACCCCACTTCCCTCTTTCGCTACAGAACCTGCCTCAGTGCAGCTTGTGGGAAAGGAAGATCCATCCACGAGCCAGCAAGGGCCACCTTTTGACTCTCTTCTCTTAGGGCTACAGTTTCACCCTTCCTCTCCATTAAAAAAAAAGTCTATGAAATAGTTGAAATCATTTGGAGCATCTTTGGAGGATTACAGGACATGCTTCTTTTGATGCTGAGGCCATTCCTGTCATTTCTTTTTAAGGAAGAACTCCTGGAATGTGAAGAGGAAGATTAATCGTCTCTCTCCACAAACCCAGAATTTGGTAAATTAGCTCTGTATCCCATATATATGTGACATATATGGGGTACAGACTGGAACCTCTCTCTCTCTCTGTCTCTCTCAACAAACCCAGAATTTGGTAAATTAGGTCTGTATCCCATATAGACGTGACATATATGGGGTACAGACTGGAA